TGCCCCGCTCGCCGACGGGCGGGTTGTCGAGGAGCCGCTTGAGGTGCCGCGCCTTCGAGGTACGAGTGCCGCCACGGCCGTCGGGTGGCACCACTTTCATCTTTTTCATCCTTTTCATCTTCAACTCGGAGTTGGGTGGGGAAGGTGCGGTGGTGGAAGCCCTTCCAGAGGTGCGGGTCGAGCATGAGACGCCACCACTTCCTGCATGTGCCACTCACCGCTGCCGTATCGCGTAGCGGATCAATGTGGGCCAGCATGAGCAGCGTCACCTCGTCCGGCAGCTCCTCCATCTTCTCTCGCCTGGTAATCGAGTGGCCGAGGCTGGAAGTGTTATGCGTTCTCTTCTTCTCGCCTGGTGGTAGTCCAAGTGTTCAGCTCTGCTTCTCTGTTTTAAGTTCATCTTCCTGGAAAACTATTTTCATTGGCAGATTATTAAACATAATATTGTGAACCACGCGAACGTGAAGGTGGCGGACTTTGGGTTCACGCGGATCAAGGAGGAGAACGCGACGATGACGAGGTGCGGCACGCCATGCTGGACCGCACCGGAGATCATCCGCTGGGAGAAGTACGACGAGCGGGCCGACGTGTACTCGTTCGGCGTCATCATGTGGGAGGTGGTCACGCGCAAGGAGCCCTTGCCGGGCGCAACTTCATGGGCGTGTCGCTCGACGTGCTCGAGGGCCGGCGCCCTGCCATCCCCGGCGATTGCCCGACCGACTTCCTCAAGGTAATGAAGCGCTGCTGGCACGCGTCGGCCGACAAGCGACCTAGCATGGACGACGTGCTCTCCCTCTTGGCCAAGCACCTCGACACCGATGACGCCGGCGCCATGATCTAGATGAGACCAGCCATGGAGGAGGTCACCAGGCATCCATTTATAAGAAAGTTACTCTGTTTTTGGTACCGGGTTTTCTTAAAAGTTGTATAAATATAACACATGAATGCAGCTGTGTCAGAAGCATCGCTGATGTACAATGGTGGGACCATGCTCTTCATAGGCTTGCTTTGCAATGCACACAGATGACATGTCGTGTGACAATGAGCCCAAAATGGAACCACCTGATCAAGTGAAGAAGCATTCAATTATCAGATCAGAGCAGAGAAGATAAGTGCTTGTGTCATAAGGCTGCACATTGTCAAGGTGGGAGTGTGCACCAATCCAGCTGCCAATGAGTGGATCTGGTTGAACAGGGTTGATGCGAGGAATATATGGGAGAGTTCGCTTGTCCTGAGGATTGAGAGTGGGGAGGACCTCAGTTGCAATCAAGGTCATCTCATTGACATTGAAGATGTGACTGAGAGTAGAGTAGCAGCACGCACCAATAACTTGGTCATGTCACTCTGCATCCTCTCATGAAACCCTTGAAACTTGCATCCACCACCTGTGTTTGGACCAAAAGGGTGTCAGTACTGCTGGACTCAAAGGCAAGGCTTCACACCAGAGGTGAGAGAGGGCAACATGCCAGAAAGGACAATGTTGTTGTACAGGTCCTTGCGCAGATCATCGTCAATGAGCTGTATGGCATCACTGACAAAGGCAGCCAAGCCCATGGGTGGACCCTCCTCCACCCTGTCAGCATCGCTCACCTCGGCCGACGCAGAAGTGTGCGTGCTTGAGAGCGATGGATCAGCACGGATGACGGGGCTGCGCCCCAGGGGCACTGTGGCTGAGCTCTGCGCAGAGCTTGTGGAGTGGCAGTAGGTGGGATCGAAGTAGGTCTCCACGCAGCCAAACACTTCTTCGCCAACGCGTAGTACTGTGCCGTCCGGAAGGGTGTAGCTAGTGATTCCGACCTGCACTCAACAATGATAAGTTGCATGTGCGGTGTGTGCCGTGAGTGTCGTGCGTTGTGCGTATTTTTCAGGCTTTTTAGCAGAGAGCGTACCGGCTCGCCGTCGAGTACGTTGGTTAGCACGATCTGCGAGAGCTCCTTGGGAAGCCTGCTCAGGAAGAGCGCCTCGTTGGCCGTAGCCGCGTGCAGGGCGTCCCACCGTGCGTGCAGCTGGTGTGCGGCGTCGCGTTCAGTGGCCACGTCGAGCGCCACCTGACACACGCGCTCCTTCAGCTTGCCCACCTCGCGTAGGTCCGCCCCCGCCGTCTTGGACAAGCGACGCCACGCTGAAGAAGAAGAAGAAGAACAACAACAACAAAGAAGAGACAATCACGAGGCTGAGCAAAATGTCAGCGGGCACGAAGAGGAGGCGTACTTCGGAAGGGAGAGTCATTGAGGAGGTCAATGAGCTTCTTGGTGGTGTCGATCCCACCGTAGGGCAGCTTTTTGATCGCGTGAGGAAACGCGTAGCCTGTGCGTTTGTGAGCAAGTAGCAAGTGTATATGTGCTACTTGCGGGATGAAGGCGTTGCAACACAAAGTCTTTACCTTCATAAATGGGTGCCAGGGTGGTGGAGTGGTGGCCGCAGTCCACAACGATGCCAGTGGTGCGGCCAGCTGCGTAGAGGCTCAGCACCGCGCTGGTGCCCACATAGTAGCCAGCCACACCAAACCTGCAGCCACACAATGAGGCCAAACAAAAAGAAAAAGTGTGCAAGTAGTGGCTGTCAAGGGGGGGGGGTTGATACTCTTCAAATGCCAGCTGGCAGCAGCGCTCGCGGTGGATCTTGGGGGCCAGGGCGGCCTCGGCCGTTATGAGCATGTGCTCCGTGGTGTCAACGCAGAGGTGCTGAGGGCCAAACACGAGTCGCCACAGGTCGGCCACCTCCTCGATGGCCAGCTCGCTGGAGTCCCTGGCGCCTCCGTCCTGGCTCGTGGGGACGATCAATGACGGCGCGTCCTCCCCTGCGATGCCGGCCTTCGTGCTAGCCGCCCCCCAGTCCACCACCAGCGTCTGCATTTTATTTTATCTTATTTTGTTATTTTTTTGTTTTCCACTCTGGAAGACCTGGTGGAGGTGTGGGCGAGGGAACCTGCTGGTGCTAAGTTGAATCAATTTATGTACGGGGAGAAACACGCTCGTTCGCTGGCGGGGCTAGTTGTCCCGCTTGGCCGTGAGCCGGTTGATGGACTTCTCGGCCTCTTTTCTCGAAGGCGACGCGGTGGAGGTGGGTGATGACGCAGTGGCGGTGGCAGACGAGGGCTTGCGCTTGGCCGCCGCGGTTCGCGGGCCTTGTTGATGAGGCTGTTGAAAAACTCGGAGAGCACCTTGTGCGCCCTTCGCGAGAGCGTCCCATCCGCAGCTGCCGCGGATACCGCGCTTTGGTCGGCGTGGCTAGCGGGGTGGAGGGCGTCTTGAGTGGTGTGGCGCCCATTGACGGTCGGCCGGTCGAGCGGGCCGGCGTGCTGGGGGCCGTTCCTTCCACTGTAGACACGCACACGAGACACACGACACACACGACACACATCGCCTTGCGTCAATAATGCAGGCGGCAGGTGAGCCTGATGAAGGGTCGAGCATGTAACTTGTGGCCACCATCCAGAAATGGTCATCTGACACCACCAGCTTGCCATGACCAACCACCCTTCACCGGACACAGCGAGATGGGCGCTTGGGGTTGTGTCGTGTGCGTTTCGTGCGGTGAGTGTGGTCCCAAACATTTTCTGTTTTAGTGCTGGGCGCTACACGCTCACTGGAAAGGAATCAGTTGCCGGCAGAGAGCCAGTCGACGGTGAGCTGGAGGAGCGGCAGCTTGCGCTTGGGCACGTCGCCAGCGAGAACACCCCGGCGCCGCAGCATCTGCCGGAGAGTGAACACGTCGAGCTTGGCGTCGTCCTTGAGCTTGGCCAGTCGGCGCACCTCGGCCTCCAGCTCCTTCTCCTCGCGCTTTTCTGCCGACGGCTCCTTCTGCTTCTGCTTCTTCTTCGCGGGCTTGGTCTTGGCGTCGTGGTCATCATTCTTTTCATTGTCGTCACCGTCGCCGTCTTCGTTCTTCTTCTCTTTGTCCTCTTTATCTTCGTTTTCGTTTTCGTTGTCGTTCTTTTTCTTGTCGGCCTCGCTGGTGCTCTTTCGCTTCCGCTTGCCAGGGCGGTGCGTGGTGACGACTCGCGACGCTTTGTTGGCGTACTGACGCGCGAGGCTCAAGGCCGTCATGCGCATGCCCTTGGTTTTGACGTCAACGCGTGCGCCACATTCCAAGAGACATCGCGCCATCTCCTCGTAGTTGTACAGCACTACAGTTCATAGGCAACACACAGCGCGCGCGCACACACACACGACACACAACACACATGTCACACCGCACACGCACACCGTGAGAACGAACCTAAACGCAAGCAAGCGGAGGCGCGTGCAAAAGTACCGGCGTGGTGCAGGGCTGTGCACAGACCGAGATCGCGACCACTGCCGAATGCGAAGTTGATGTCGACGCCGTGATCGACGAGGAAGCGGCACACGGCGACGTCGCCTCGCTGCAGCGCGGGCGAGGTGAGACACTCGCGCCACACGCCTGGGCCGAGGGCCGGCGCCAGGTGCCGCAGCATCTCCATAGATGGACGCTCAACTGCATACATACATATTCCACAAATGTCAAGTCAGTATACACTGAACATTGTAATGTATACAGTGTAGCAGAAAGATGACGTCATCAAGTCGGTGCGCGCACCTCGGGACAGGGCGGTGACCATGTGCCGACCCTGCAGAGTCGCCCCGTGCTGCTGCAGCAACTGCACGATTGCAAGGTTGCCCGAGCTGATCGCAGAGCTGATCGGTTCGTCGCTCCCCCACGTATGCCTCGGCCTACGCTCACGCCGCAGAAGGTTGGCGCGTGCGTGCTGTGTGCTGTGCTGTGTGCTGTGTGCTGTGTTGCGTGGTGTTGCGTGCGGGAAAAGAGTACTGTGGATGGTAGCAGCCACGGTCGAGGAGCAGCTGGACGGCTTCAAGGCTTCCACTGCGGGCCGCTTCTGAGATGGTCCTGTTGCTGGTTGGCACCGCGACGCGTAGAAGGAGCTCGAGCGTGTCCACGTTGCCTTGCCCAGCCGCACACTGTATAGGTTGATCAAAGCAAGTGCGGCGTGTGGAGCTCAACGGGCAACCCAAGACAGGGACGAACCACGCACCACCGCACCACCGCACCACCGCAAGCACCAGCACACGCACCACCGCACACGTACGTTGAAGGCCGCATCCAAGTGTGGCTTTAGCTTGGTGCCCGCCTGGTCCAAGATGAACGACACCAGCTGCAGATTGCCGCTCTGCGCCGCCGGGCGCAGACATCCCCGGCCATCGCCCAAGTCCGCGCCCTGTGCCACAAACAGCTGACCACCCACCATTTAGCTCTGTCAGTCCTAAAATGGGAAAATAAATTATAACAAAAAAGTTGTATTTTGATTCTTGACGTATTTTTCCTTCTTTTCTTCTTCTTCTAACGATAATGATATACAAAAATATAAGCAAACCTGGACCAGAGGCACAGAGCCAGCCAGACAGGCGCGGTGCAGACACTCGGACACCAGCGAGGCGGTCGGCGTAGTTTTGGTAGCCGTGGTGCCAGTTGAGGGTGGAGAGCATCCCGGGGTCGCACCCCGTGGACCGCGACCAACCGCGCCACCTCCCGCTCGGCCAGCGGGAGACACCCGACGAGCGCTGCGGCCAGCAGGCGCCCGTGATTGCCCCGCTCGTTGGCCGGCGGGTTGTCCAGGAGCCGCTTGAGGTGCCGCGCCTTCTCGAGGTACGAGTGCCGCCACGGCCGTCGGGTGGCACCACTTTCATCTTTTTCATCCTTTTCATCTTCAACTCGGAGTTGGGTGGGGAAGGTGCGGTGGTGGAAGCCCTTCCAGAGGTGCGGGTCGAGCATGAGACGCCACCACTTCCTGCATGTGCCGCTCACCGCCGCCGTATCGCGTAGCGGGTCAATGTGGGCCAGCATGAGCAGCGTCACCTCGTCCGGCAGCTCCTCCATCTTCTGCTCGCCTGGTAATCTTGCGAGTGTAACGCGTTCTCCTCTTTTTCTGGTTTTACAGTTTCAATTCCTAGAAAATATTTATAATTATTCTGTCCTTTTAAAAAAATACATTCATTTCTTTTTGGCGGGCTTGGCGGCGGGGGCGAGGTCGCGTAGTCGCTTGAGCTCGTTGCGGACCTGCGTGGCGTCGGCGGTGAGTGCCGTCACCTGCGCGAAGCCCTCGTACTTGGTCGGCAGCGCGAACGCGCCCGAGAACTCGCTGATCACCTCTTCCGCCTGGCATGCCACACCACCACATCATCATCTGTGTTGCGTGGCATGTGTGCCGTGTCGCGCGTTGCGTGTTGAAGAAGACGAACCTTGGCGGCGGAGAGGGTGGGGTGACCGCGACGCAGGCTTGCTCGTCGTATGCACTCCTCCTTGGGCACATCAAAGTAGATGGCCTCGATGTGTGTTGCCCCGTACCGCTTCGCCTCTGTCACCCACATCTGCGCAGCGCACACGCACCACCGCACATGCACCACCGCACACACACACACACACGTTCAGTATCACACAATTAAACAACTAAATAACACGAAAATGATCACAGGAGCGCAATGGGAGCGTAGTGTAGTGCGGCACCTTGCGATCGCCAGCAGAGAAATTACACCGGTCCACTATCACGCTCTTCTTTCGCTTGATTGCCTGGCGGTGTAACGCAGTGCGTGAGGCAGCTGCTTGGCTCGAACTCAGGTTGAGTTGGGCGGTACCTTCTCCATCTGTTTCTTGACCTCGTCGGCTGAGCCCAGGTCGTCCTGCGACACACGAACCCACATCTCCCCGCTCGTCCTCTCCAACTCCGTCGCAAAAGTAGACTTGCTACACATTTTGTCAAATAAAATAAGCATAAATATAAATACAAATATAAATTAAAAATAAATATAAATATAAGCGACAAGGCGAACGCGTTGTACTGCGGGGGGGGGCGAACCCAGAGCCGGGCAGGCCAGCGAGTACGACAACCACGGGTTTGGGGCCGGCAGCCGCTCCCGACGTAGATGAGGTGGACTTTTTGCCGCCTTTCATGAATTTGTTGTTGAAGCACTCGACTCTTTGCTAGCTTCACTCCTCTTCCTCTCTACCTTCACTGAACCCCTTTTCTTTATCTTATTTTTCTTATTATTATTTCTAAAGAGATATGAATATATGTTTGATATTTTGAGCACGTGTGTCACCACCAGGACCATTTGTTTGTTGGGGTGGAGAGTGGGATGAGCTCCTGTTCGGAGGAGGGCGACGGGCATCGCCCGTTGACCACGAACGGCGGCGCCATTCGGCCACCGCGCAGCCGCATGATGTCCTCGCACCGGCCCTGCACGCCCCACAGGCCCTCGGCCGACTCCCAGGCCTCGCGCGCGTGGCTCCACCCATTGACCACGCACCACCGCCGCCAGCCGGCGAACTGGGCGTCCAGGTACCGCCCGGCCCGGTTGGGTATCGATATCTCGAGCGGCCCCGCGGCGACGTTGTTGAAGTCATTGACGTCTACATTGACGTCGGCGTCGGCGTCGGCGGTGTCGACAGTGACGTCAGCGGCGGTTGCATTGCGACGATGACTCCTGGTGGAGGTGGACGTAGACTCGAGTACTACGCGGCGCGGGGGGAAGAGGTAGTCAATGGAAAGCGACGGGCCGGGGGCGCCGTTGGTCGCGGCGATGGAGGACGTGCGGCGGGTGGTCGGGTCCACGTCGAACACGAAGATGTCCACGAACGGAAAGCCCCAGTCCCGATCACCTGCCCTCGGCGCCCCGGTAAAGTACACCTGTTGATGATCATTATCACAATATATTAAAATCCCAATAATAATAATTTAATCATGATCAGAACAACCAACAACAATATTAATAAAAAGAAAATAGTATATAATATACCTTGTACATGTCGTTGGGCACCACCTCGCGCAAGACGAGCCCGCGCCGTCGTAGATCGGTGCGCAAGCCGCTGAGGTCGCGCTCAAAGTCGGCCCGCGGGATCATGATGTCGATGTCGTCGTCCCAGTCCACCCACCCGCCGTCGTGGCCGCGGCACAGCCCCAGCAGGCTGCCGTCGGCCACGACGTAGTCGACCCCGGCCTGCGCGAGTCCGCCGTCGAGGGCGGCCATCAGCCGCCGGGCGCGGGCCGCGGTCGCGGGCGAGCCCCAGCCACGGGCGCGGACCAATCTGGCCGCGGGGCTGTCGAGCGGCTCGTCGGGGCCGACCACGTAGAGGCCGGAGACGACGTAGTCGTCGGCCGGGTCGATGCCAAAGATTGAGTTGTACATGAAGGTGGACATGGTCGACATGGAGTTGTGGGAGAGCCGGGGCAAGACGACGTAGAGCGAGAAGGCGCAGAGGAGGAAGAAGCCGAGCAGGGCCGCGAGGCGCGTGTGTGCCGTGAACAATCGATTAACAGTATTCATCAAGTAGTGTAAATAATAAAGATTGAAAAATAGAAATCTGTGCGTGGCGGGCCAGCTGTGCGCCAAGTGGGGCCGGCGAGCTCTCCGCATAAAGCCCCGGCTTTCGTCAAAGCTCTCGGAGCCTTGTGTCTTTGCAACAACACGCCAAAGGAGGTTTCTTTGTAAAATTTTTTTGTGCGGACTATTGCTTTTTCGCTGAACAGAAAAAGGACCTTTCGCTCAGTACTTCCTGGCGGCGTGCAGGATCTGCGAGCCGGCGACGCCCTCGACGCCCGAGGCGGGCGGCGGTGCGTAGAGGGTCAGCACCAGCTCCCGCACGGCCTCGGTACACATCGTCGTCATCAGCTCCAACGGTTCCTGCACGACGATCGGTTTGGCATCAGTACGCACACGCACTACCGCACACAAACGCAACACGACACACACGTGGGCGTACCTGCAGGTGTTGCTTGCTGATCCCCTGGCGAGCAGAAAGGGCGATGTGGGAGACCACGTCGGTTGCCAGACGGCAAAACTCCTGCACGTTGACGTCATGTGAGCGTGTGCGTGTGCGGTGGTGCGTGTGCGTGTGCGGTGATGCGTGTGCGGTGATGCGTGTGCGTGTGCGTGTGCGTGTGTCGAGCGCGTGACATATGGGGGCGGGGGTGCATACGGTCCAGTAGTCGTAGACGTCGAGGTTGTGCATGGAGATGTGGGCCTCCTTGACCGGCGCCAGGAAGGCGCGCACGATGAACGCCAGCCGCACCGCCATCGACGAGTCCCTCTCGTCCATCGCAAACAGCTGCTTCTCCTCTCCTATTCATTCATCGTGTGCGGTCGTGCGTGCGTGTGCGTGTGCGTGCGCGTGTGCGGTTGAGCATGTGCGGTGTGTGTGTCGTGCGTGTGTGCACGACCGTGTGAGAGCGTAAGAGGTACGCACCGGGCCAGTGCATCTTGAGCCAGTGAATGGCGACGAGGAGGCGCTCCATGGGCTTCTGGAGGGACTGGAGGCCCGAGCAGCACATGAGGCTTACCAGGAAGTCGTCCGCCGCGCGCATGTGTCCCACCGACGCGTGCATCATCTTCTGCGCCTTGCCCGGATCCGACGGCAGGCTTGCGTACCGCACACGACGCACACGACACACACGGCACACACGACACGACACACACGACACACGACACGGGGTTGAGTTGCGTTTTGGTGAGTGCGGGAGGGAGGCGAGAAGAGTGTACTTGTGGAGGTCGAAGAAGATGAAGTCCTCGGGGTCGCTCAGGTAGGGCACAAACTGGTAGCGGGTCGACATGCGCCACGCCGCCATCACCGTACGCACCGACACATTCTTCTCCGCCCCGTCCGACGCTGCATTCCAACACAGTCCACCCAACATTCGTTACATCCTTTTACGGCTGCGGGTGTCGTGTGTGTCGTGTGTGTCGTGTGTGTATCGTGTGCGGAACGCACGCATGTCGGAGTACTGGGAGCTGATCTCGCGGATGGAGTGCTTGTTGAGGAACAGCAGTTGGTTGAGCACCGTGTCGGAGAGTTCGTTGAGGATTGTGTAGAGCACGCCCTGCAGATCGAGGCACTGCGTAAGCGTGTTCAAAATCATCATGGGCCTCTGTCGCGTGTCGTGTCGTGTGCCGTGCGTGTCGTGTCGTGTCGTGTCGTTGGTCGTGTCGTGCGTGTTAGTCGCATGTGCATGGGAAGAATGTAAGGAATGTACAGCGAGTGGGGGTACCTTGTGGGGCGTCTCCGGGCTTTGGGCGCTCTTGAAGGCCGAGTAGGACTGCATGAGGGCGTTGACGCTCTGCTGGTCGAACGGCCCCTTGGCCACACTGGACCGCAGCGACTCGTGCACGGCCGACTTTAGATGCTGCAGGCGCTGCATATTCTCATGTTGAAACTACACGACACGACACATGGTGGCACCATGACATATACATGTTAACCAAGATGGAAACTAGAATGCAAAGAATGTGGCGGGTACAAGGTGTACCTGGATGTGCTTGTAGTGGTTGGCCAGCGTCAGGCTGGGTTGGAACACCCCGTCGACGCTGCGCACCATCTTGTCATCGAACAGGTAATCTAGTGTCAAGGCAATTATGAGTAAAAATTAGAATTTATGAGTGTCGTGTGCGTGTCGTGTGTGTGTGTGTGCGTGCGTGCGTGCGTGCGTGCGGTAGTACCTCCCGTGAGAAGGTAGAAGGCGATGCCCGAATTGACGACGAATTGGTTGATGAGCTTGTCAATGAAGTTCCGCTCCCGACGACCAGACGACAGCCGCGACGATGACGACGATAACGAAGTCTGTCCAATTGTTCACATTTTTCTTGCATTAGATGGCACGCGCCGCACGACACACACGACACGGCGCACGCACAGTACCTTGCCCTCGCGCGAGAGGCTCGACTCGAGGCTCGAGGTCGAGGCCGACAATTTCTCGCGGCCGCTGTTGGTGCCGTTGCCGGTGCCCTCGACCGCCGCGGCGGCCTCCTGCTTCTCGCCCAGGATCGAGAACGCCAGCACCTCGAGGCACTGTGGGAACCACCACTGCAAAATCCTACATACATTCCACACATTCCTCAGCCGTGTGTCGTGGCGTGCGGCGTGTTCGTGTGTCGTGTGTGTGTCTCGTGCGGTGAGTACCATTTCCTATGGGGATCGGGGTACTTGATGTTGTAGGTGTCGTAGACGCCGGCGAAGGCCGCAACGCCGTTCTTGATCTCCTCCAGCTGACTCTTCAGCACCTTGTTGGCCTGCACCTCCTTCACCTTCTGGATCGCGTCCACCCACGCGTCCATGTCCTGCACTCACCAACCGACCAACCATGAGACGCGTGCACCTCGTGTGGTGTGTGTGTGTGTGTGTCGTGTGTGTGTGTGTGTGTGTGTGTGTGTGTGTGTGTGTGTGTGTGTGTGTGTGTGTGTGTGTGTGTGTGTGTGGTGCCGTTGATTGATTGTGTACCTCGGCAGAGTCGCAGCAGAGGATCCAGATGCGGTTGGGGGTGACGACCTCAAAGGCGTACTTGGCCATCATGCCGTGCACGGAGCCGAGGCGGATGGAGGCCTCCTCGAGCACGATGATGCCCTTCCGCTTCGTGCGCTGCTGGTGGTTGACGTAGTAGAACACGAACAGCCCGTTCAGCGAGAAGTACCGCTTCTTCCAGTTCTGTCCCCCAAAGATAGCAGGTTTGTTAGCATCGCACACGCACACGCACACGCACACGCACACGCACACACGCGGTGGAGAGGGACCAACCTTTCTGCGGCCGCCGCGCTTGAAGAGATAGCCCTCCTTGGTGGCCTCCAGCGTGCTCAGGTGTTGCTGGATGGGGAAGAATGGAGAGAATGTTAGTAATGTCGACAGAAGGAATATGTCGCACAACAAGAACTCGTTTAACGGGCGCCGCACCAGTCTGAGCCGGATCTCGCCCACCAGCGCCAGCAGGTATGCGGCATGCTGCATTCATATGAGCATCAATGTGAGCAAAATATGGTGAAGAATGCGTGACATATTGTGAAGAATGTGTAATAAAATAAAGAGTTGGAGGCGGACCTTGAGGAATGTGACGTTCTGGCCGATCACGTACTTGAAGTGGCTGTTGCGCGTGAACTCGTCGACCTTGTATTCCTGGAAGACGAGAGAGTCGACCCCTCGACGTAAATCCCCAGGAAAAGCGAAAGCGAAAGCGAAGAGACGTACGTCGTAGCCTTTCTCCAGACAAGCCCTGGCGAAGTCCAGACACTGCTGATACTCCGCCTTCTTCTCCTATTTGGTGCGTGTCGTGTCGTGTCGTGTGCGGTGTATGTCGTGAATGTGAGTTGTGTATGTCGACAGGGGAAGGAGCGACGTACGATGTCGGCGAGCGCGTGGGGCACACACAGCATCTGCATGAGCTGGACGAGGTACTCGGAGTAGTCCTTCTGGAAGTTCCCGAACGTGCGCCGCTTGTCGCCGTTGCCCCGGTTCATCTGCACGCTCTCGATTCGCTGTGTACAACCGAGAATAATCCACATTTTTCAGTTACAATTCAACTTAATCGCACACACACGACACACGGCACACACGACACACGCACACGACACACACGACACACACGACACACACGCACACACGACACACACAGAGAGGAAATTGAAAAAGGCGCGTACGTTGCGGTCGAGGATCTCTTCGATGGCCTCGGCGTCCTTGGCAGCGATACCGACGCTGATGACGCCCAGGGCCTTGTTGGTGCGGCTCAGCTTGAACTGCTGCAGCGTGCGATTCTGCGGCAGCGCCATCAAGATCATCTGCAAGTCCCGACGTGTGTCGTCAGCAACACCGCACACATGACACACACGCACGACACACGCGCCACCACACACCCGCACGCGCACACGACAGGAAGCACCTTGCCGTCATCTTCGCGGAACTTGTTGTTGGCGAGGTTGAGGTCGGTGAGGGAGTGGTTGTACTGGAGGAACTTGCAGAGGGCGTAGACCGACGCGTGGCCGATCTTGTTGTCCTCCAGGTTGAGCACCTGCAGCTCCTTCTGGTTGGTCCCGGACAGCGCGCTGAAGATGATATCCACCCTCCGCAACCTTGTACGACACACACGCCACACGCCACACGCCACACACGAAACAGCACACACACATACACACACACACAACACGATACGAAACACACGCAACACGCGACAATCAACATCACCATCCACGCTGGCCCAGTCATCATGTCCGAGGAGTCGTACTTGTTGTGTGCGAGGTTGAGGCTGGTCAAGTTCCGATTGCCATGGCTGACGGTGGTGGGTGGTGGGTGGTGTCAGAGACTGGCGGTGTCAGGGTTGTGGGGGGAAGGGAGAAAGACACACGCACAGGAACTGGGCGATGTGCTCCACCGAGGGGCGTGAGATGTGGTTGTGCGACAGGTTGAGCGATCCCACGGTTTGGTTCTCCGCCAGCTGAGGTGTGTCGTGTGTGTGTGTTGTGTTGTGTGTGCGTGTGCGTGTGCGTGTGCGTGTGCGTGTGCGTGTGCGTGTGCGTGTGCGTGTCAGAGGTTGCCGACAGAAATTTGGGTGGACGGTTGCGTACTGCGGCGAAGAGGAGGCAGGCCTGCTCGTCGCTCACCGAGCAGCCGGTGAGGTTGATGTGCTCGAGGTACGTCGACGACAGGCACTTGATCAGGACCGTCATCTGACCGAGAACAGAGAAAAAGAGTGAAAAGAGAGAAAGAAAAGAGAGTTAAGAAGAAGAAGAAGAAGAAGAAAACGCGTCCAAGGCACGGCGTGGATCTGGGATTGGTACCTGCGGCGTGTAGAAGGGGTTGTTGGAGAGGTCGATGCTGGTGATCTGCTGACGTGTCTGCAGCACCTGCAGCACTGCCGACACACCGTCCTGTTTTGCCCAATTATAATTGGGAGAATGTGTGTGAGACCCTGTGTGCTATGTGTGCGGTGGTGCGTGTGCGGTGGTGTGACAGACCTTGGAAAGAATGTTGTCCAAAGTGAGCGAGCGAATGTGAATGGGCAGTTTGGAGACCACGGAGAACAGGCTGTCGTGCACGTTGCGCTTCCCTGTCTCCCCGCCAAGCATTATATCAACATATAAATAAATATAATAGTAATATAAGAGAATACAAACGCAGTCGCCAGCGGGCCGTACCGGAAGTATTGCGGAACTCGAGGTTGGTGAGCGACGGGTTCTTTTGGCAGATTTCAATGTACTCCAGCTCGAAGTCTGCATTCGCACATAGTGCCCCACCCAATTGTTTTAGTTACCAACACGACACACACGACACACACACGCCACAACTCACGCCACAACTCACGCGACACGTGTTGCAATGCGAGCAACGCTGCTTTCGTACCTCCACCGAACTTGCAATCAGTGATATTGAGCTAGGTGGGCACACAGTAAATAAAAAAAAAAAAAACACAACATGTGACGATATGTGAGCCGCGCACATTCAAATGAGGTTTTCCTCAAGGAGGCGGCTCCGAAGTGGTCAGACGCGTACCGTGTTGAGGGACGGGTAGGACTTGAGGAGCTTCTGGATGGCGACGTTGAAGGTGAAGCGGCGGTAGATGTTGTTGCTCGGGATGTAGATAACTGAGGGCGGCGAGGTCTGGCCCGTCAGCCCCTGCTTCATGTACCGGTACGCCACGATCAGCTTCTCACCTGCACATCAAACATTGATATTAACCACATATCAATTTTTACACATCAATCAGTGTGTCGTGTGTCGTGTGTCGTGTGTCGTG